CTCCCTGGTAGCCAACAGGCTAAAGCACAGAACTATGAAGCTAGTTACAGCCACTTCAGCATGAGTTTGACCCCCGCCCCGGAGGAGACCCCGGAGGAGATCCACATGGCGTGGCAGACCTCTCCTGACCTGCTCGCTGCTCCCCTCAGCAGTGTACTTTGTCAGTCTGCTTGTTCTGTTCCTCACTCTGTCCCTGGTGAATCCTCTCACCACTTCTGCCCTATACCCTAGCTCTGAATGCATTAATAAATAAATCTTAAATAAAATAAAAAGTTACTACAGAATACATGATTTAAAAGAAAAAAAAACCTAAAGACATGAAATAAAATTCATGAAAGAGCAATACTAAAGGTATATATTTTCCAAAACATGTCACTTGAACAGTTTTAAGTAATATGGTCAAATTTTTCCTTAGCAGACAAAAACCTGTTATAGTTTATAAATGAAATTCCATGAACAAGATATGAAGTTATTTGGTAATATGCAATTGAGTATTTTATTTTAGAGGAAAATTTTCAAATATCTGGTGTATCACCTGTGAAATTTCAGATGGGAATAACCATCCCTATTCCTGACCCAGAATAGCTCATATTTTGTGTTATGGGGAAATAAGGAAAGAAGAAGTCATAGAAGTTAAAGAAACAAGGAGCCTGGCTTCTTCTATTTGACTTCAAGAGAATGTGTGGGTAATAGTGGCTGGATACATAGAGAGATGGTTTTATCTTCCTTTTAACTTTGTATGAAACGAATGTTTGCCCTCAGGGTGCAGCAGCATTACAGTTCTCATTTCTGTCACTGGCCAATTATTCAGCTTTACTGAGATCATTCAGCAACTCTATATTGTTGGAAGTAATAAATACAAGCCAATTTAAAAGTAAACAGAAGAGTAAATAATAAAAGCTTCAGCTGAAACTTGATATCATCAACAATATGATATGTTACCATGTCACACACACCAGAAAGTCACCCATAGTCTTAAATGATCCAGTGCATGAATTACATTCATTGAAAGAACTCTAGATCACTATGAAAAGAGCAAAGATCAAAGATGAAAAGAGCAAAGATCAAATATGCATCCAGTGTACAGATTCAAAATAAAGGTTAAGCTTAAGGCATAAATCTGAACTAACTGGCTTTTTTACCCTTTCAGACACAATTTCCGTGGCAAACAACAAAAGGAATAAGCTTTGACTTCAGGAAATATTTCTGTTTTTTCCAAGGTGAGGTCAGGGCAGCTTGTAAGTTGGCCACAAATCTAAAGTACTTCTGGTGAGTAACTATTCAAAAAGGGCTAAGCAGTGGCCAGAAAGCAGGAAATAAGCAAATGCCACATCAAGATCACAGTTGCCATAGTTACTGCTCACCACAACCTCCCGCATGGTTCTCGCTCACCAGTCCCTCCATGCCTCTTTTCCATGTCTCATCCAAGTCTTCTTCCCATCAATACGAAGATGTAAGTCAAGCAGCAGAAGCAAGAGAGCACATCCAGCAGCCTCTGTGTCATGCAGTCCCACCCAGTAGCTCTCTCAGAATGTCCAGTCCATGGCACCCTGGGACTTGAGACCCAAGGTGGCGGCATGTAAGTGAAACCTCAGCTGAGATCTCAGGAGGGAACAAGGAACACAAAATTGAAAATGGAGGCACAGTTGCACTTGTTATAAGGTGACAAAGGCGCTGGCTCCATTGTCATTGCAGTCCTGTGGTTGTGCAAGGTAGGACTTGCAAGCAATGAAGTGGGGCATTTAGCTGTGAGGAACGCTAGGCATTTCCCAGAGCTGAAAGAACAACTTGGTTCCTCCTGATGGCGTATCATAAAATGTAAAAGGAGAGAAAAAAATTGAAAGAGGAGTTGATAGGCAAAACAAGCAAACAAACAAAAACAGAAATTAATAGAAAAAAAATATTAGCCTGGCCATATTGCAAAAAAGAGAAGAGAGGTTTTTTTGTTTTTTTTTTTAAGATTTATTCATTTATACTTACAGAACTGGGGTGCAGGCCAGAGGTGTGGTGGGTGAGAGGATTCACCAGAGACAGAGTGGGGAGCAGAACACACAGATCTATTGAAATACACTGGCGAGGGGAGCAGCCTTGTGGATAAGCCCCTCTGGCCAGGAATCGAACTCATGTTGCAGTGGCTTCAGAGAGCTTCAGAATGTGCTGCTGTAACCTGTTGCACCACCAGGGAGAGCCCTAGGAAGAACATTTTTATAAGAGAATACCAGATGTGTGCCAGGGAATATAAATGCCCATTGCTAAAGGAATTATGAGGTTATATGAATAGAACATTTGTCATGTTGAACTGACTCGATGCTCCCGCATTACTGACCAAGAGCCTCATGATGCTTGTTGATGTCTACTAGCTGTTACAGTATCTGAACCTTATCAAATTTTATGTTTTGCAAATGTCCCATATTTGTTTTTGTTGTTCTGACTTACTTTGTCATATATGATTTGCAGAAAGTTCCTTCATTTTTTTTTTTCAAATGGCTCCACTTCATCCTTTCATGTGTGTGTGCATATCACATGGTGTGTATGTCAATATCTTCTGGATCCACATATCTGATTGCTAGTCTGGTTGACATTCCCTTATACCTCACCCTTTTTTATTTTATATTTTCAATATTCTGTCCTTGTCATTGGTTCTCAGCAGTTTTGCCAATTGTGTCCCAATGTGTGGCTGTTGTGTGATTGCAGCTCTTAGCTTCAAACATTCTGGGTCCATAAAATGTCAGTAACCAATATACTTGCATTTGTTGATATTGAAGAGAAATAACATGGAGAACTGAAAGGAAACTGAGGAATCAATACAAAGCAACACTTAAACTAGTTGTCCTGGCCTGTAGAACTGAGTAAATCTTGTTACTAAGCAACTCGATCTAGAATTTGATTACGTCAGATACAGAAAGGAGTAAAAATTATGTTTCAAATTTGTCATGTGAGCACTCAAGAAAAATTTGCTTCTCATAATTATGGGCAAGTAAAATAACCATGTCTACATCTGCAGTTACAAAGGACCATGGGAACTATTATTTGTGCAAGAATTGACCCATAAAGAGGAGCCCTGATGTTAGTGTATACATGAAAACTCCCTCACAAATAGTCCAATTGTGTCTTTACCAAGACTTCTGCTTTTAGTAAGATCAACAACATTTATTTTCCCTATTCTATTCAATGCCACTTGTTTAAAGAAAAAAGGGAGGTTTTAAAGGATGTTACTCAATGAGTGTTTGATCAGAAGTAGAAACTAGATTGATGGATTTGATATGAAACTCTGGGGAGAGACAAACTCATAAAGGAGAAAGACAACAGATGACTTGAAATTCTCTTTCTTACAGATGAGAGCACAGTGTTGGTGATGGTGCCAGATTCTCTCAGGAGGTTTGTTCCTGGGGTCATTTAATAAAACTAATGTAATGAAGATAAATGTAGTCTAGCTAAAATATTCTCTGGAGATGATTTTTCTGTCGCTTGAAAGATAATGTGTTAGGAATAAATTATGGAGTTATTATGTTGGTTTAACTCACACTCAACAGTTTAATATTACTTACAATTATTTTCTATCACGACTGAAACTCGTAATTTATGATAATCACCAAAATATTGAGATATAGAGAACAAAGCAGTTATAAGGATTTACTCATATTTTACATGTGTTTACTCAAATCTTTCACTAAACTAGTTTTTCTGAGGCTCTTTTGACATTTGATGAAATTCTCCTTCACTCAATACTAGAAAAATACACAAGTGATATGAGAATTAGTGTTAATTTAGTGATAAGGAGGATATAGAGATTGAAGCAAGTTCCCCCTAACTATCTGATAGAAGAAAATTCAAATGAAACAAAATTCATTATTAAATATCCCAAATGGATTATCTCCATGTTATAATTTAAACTAACATTGTGAAATTCAATAACAAGCATTCCAGGAAAAACTACAATGTAGAATTTCAACTGAGGTTCTATGTATTGAAAAGGAATTGAATACAAATCACAAAGTTAAGAAATAAAGACAAGAAAGTGCAAATATTAAAAGCCTAAATTGTTGAAATACCTGTTCCTGATTTCATCCTGTCTGGTTTTTACATCACAATTTGGGTAGTTTCAAATTTTAAAAATTCAAATAATATACTCTGAATTATTTTGAGAGTAGGCAGTCAAGCCATGGAATAACAATTTTACATTTTCAGTAATATGTGAAAACATTTAAATTATCAAAATACAGTTATATCTGCATTTACACATAAGGTATATATGTGAAAATTTGGTTGGAGGTCAATACATTTGAGTGTTGAGCTTGGACTTGGCTACATTGTCATCCTCAAATACAAGGACTTTAACATCTTTGCTCCTGTTAAACTTTACCTTTCCAGAACTTTTGTCCTTGCCATTTGGATGTATTGATTTTGTTTGCATTTCCAAAAGGACTTAATTTGCCATCATTTTATGCCAATCTCCAACAGTTCATTTTCGTTTAGTGTTTCATTTTTTTCTCTCATTTTATTTGTCCAGAAAATTTGAAACATGCTTTTCTTAAGAAGGCCCAACACATTGAATGATGTTCACCTGGTCAGCCCTGGACCTGCTCCTGAGTCCAGCCAGCATTGTCTGATAATGATAACCATCATGGGAGACACTAATGTATGTGTAGGCAATTGATGCTTTGATCCTTGCGTATGAAGGGTTAGGTGAAAAGAAGGATTAAGATTAGGTGAAAAGAAGATTGAAAAAAGGAGAGAATCAAGAAATAATTGGTTAAAATAAATATAATAATTTATACATATGATATAAATAATAGCATATATATGAAATGTCTAGTTACTAGGTATTACAGTCTTTTACCTTGTCAAATTTTCTATCTTTCATGAAAATCCAATATTTGTTTTTGTTGTTCTGATTTACTTTGCTGCATATTATTTGTCAGAAGACCCTCCATTTTTTGAACATTGCTGCATTTTATTCTTTCTGGTGTCTGTTTAATTCACCGTGGAGTGCATGTGACATGTCTCCCGGATCTACTCATCTGACCTATCAGTCTGATCGGTGTGACTTTATAGGTAACCCTTTTTCCTGTTGATATTTGTAATATTCTGTCCTTGCCATTGGTTCTCAATAGCTTTGTCTTGATGTGTCTTTGTGACTTTCTCTCTGTAATGATTTTGTCCTTGGGTCTTTGGAACACACATCCGGGATCCATAAAATGTCAGTTAGGCAATGTAGTTAGCTTTATTCATATTGAAGATAAATTGTGTGGAAAATAGAAAGAAAATTGTAGTCAATGTGAGGGAAAACATAAACCAGTTCCCCTGGTCTGTAGAACTGGGTGAAACTTGTTACTAAGCAACTAGATCTAGAATTTGATTACATCAGAGACAAAAGGAGTATGATTATTTTCTCTATGTCATGTGAGCAATAAAGTAAAATTCCTACTCTTAACATGGGCAGAAAATCTAACCATGCATCTGAGTGTAGTTAGAAAAACTATGGGAACCATCTACCTTCTGCTGGTGAGTCATTCAAGAATTATCTGTAAAGAGAAATACTGAATACTTTGTATGCCTGAGTACAAAAACACACAAACCACATGTGACTTTATCAAGATTTCTGGTCTTGAGTAAGATCTGCAACATTTATTTTCCCCCATTGTACTCAAAGTCACTTGTTTGAAAGCACAGAGTTATGTTTTAATGCATTATTACTGAGTGAGGGTAAGAATGGAAGTAGAAATTGAGGTAAAGAAAATGATAACTTGGTGAAAATCTGGGAAAGAAAATTATAAAAGACAGCACTAACAGTTCAATTGAAGTGTAGTCCTTTAGAAGTGATAGCATGGCACTCATGAAAATTCTTTATTCTTTCAGGAGGTGTGATCCTGAGTTGTTGAACAAAATAATATAATGGGAACAAATGTAGTGTAACTAAAATATTCTCAGGTGAGTGTTATAGTGTCACAAACTTCCAAATGAGGTCTTAAGATTAAGTTTTGGTGGTATTATTACTTCTCACTTGTAATTCTATTATTCATAATTATTTTCCATCACAATAATAACACACATTTCATAGCAATCACCATGTATGTTGAGACATGGAGAACAAAAAAGTTGTAAGGATTTTACTCATATTTATACATGTTGGATTCTAATATTTCCCAGAATGAACTTTGTTTTCTGGACTTTGGCACTATAGGTAGGCATGAGCAATGTGTTTCCATATATTCAACAGACATCACTTTCCACTGTGTTTTACTTGTCTGAGTGTTCTTAATGTCATTACACTAAGTACAGTTAGTTGGGTAATAACCAGATAATGACTACACATATTCTGTGAACAGATGCACTACATAAATAAAAATAGTCTATAGGCTGATGTTTGTTTGACACGTGTGTAGAACAGTGTTTAACAATACTCTAATACAATTTTCAATGTGAAAAAAATTTTTAGAGTTGGCAGCCAAACCCAGAGATACTATAAGAATTATCATTTTTCAGAAACTTGTGCAGATCTCTTAAGTTATTGAGATGCATTTTTGTTTGTACTTACCAAATAAGACACACAGTGATTGATTTTGAGAGCTACTCTGAATATTGAACATGAGAGTTGGTTACCTTGGAATCTTGAAAATGCACAAACTGACATATTTGCTCCTATAAAATGTTACCTTCACCAGTAATTCTATGCTCCTGTAAGAGATGTATTGATATTGTTTCCATCCCCAAAGGCACTTAATTCGGCATCATTTTTTTCTTAGTATTTTTTTTTAATTTAAAGCATTTAATTCTATTTATCTACACAAGTGTGGGAGTGCAGTCCAGAGGTGTAGGGGTAAGGAGAATGATAGGATTAATCACAGACAGATTAATCAGGAGTAGAAGAGGCAGGTTGACTGAATCAAACTGCTGAGCAGAGAGTAGGTGAGACAGGGGAGGTCTGCTAATGCCATGTGGTTCAACTTCGTGGAGAGGATCAAATTCTTGCTGCCGTGGCTGCTGGTAGCTTCGTAGTGCTATGACCTAACTCTCTGAACTACCAGAAGGCCCTACTTGCCATCATTATACTCCAATCTCCAACAGCCTTGCAGGCCACGCTCTCTACAACCTTACTGAATTATCAATTAAAATTCAAAAGAAAAACTTTATGTTAGTGTTTTTATCAGTCTATATGCTTAAACAAAGACTTGTTTAGACATTTCAGTAGTCTTTTTTTTCATATATTTACTGAGAAAATGTTCATACACAGACCTGTGTTTAGATGAGAGAGCAAAGAATCCACATGTGCACACATCTGGATCACAGTGTCAGCCTGAGCAGCCATGCTGTACACACCCTCACGCTCTCCCCATCTCCCCCTGTGTCTGCAGTGTGGGCTCCATTCTGTCAAGTGGGCTCACGTCTTGAGCCAAGCTCTAGTCCATGTAGCCAGCCCTTCCCCTTCCCCTTGACCTGACTCAGCCCTCCTTCTGTTTTCTCCTCAGTGCTGCTGTCCTGGGGCTGTGACTCGGCCAGCGGACAGGGGTCCAGGTCAGCCCCGCAGAGCGCCCAGCCAGAGGGAAGAGACATCAGTGTTGCTTCCTGCCCGACGCCCCATCGCTCCCCACTAGCCCCATGTGCTGGCTCCAGGATGGCTGTGAGGGAGGCCCTGGTGCCTGGGAGGCTCCCTGACCTGCACCTCTGGCTCAGGCTGCTTCTGTTGCTCTGTGGGGGGTGTCAGGTGGGGCACACCCAAGCCCATGGTCCCCCACAAGTGGTGGTTCCCCACAGGGTAACGGGCCCTGACAGAGGCGGGAGCCCCATGGACTGGCTCTCTTATAACCTGCACTTTGAGGGCCAGAGACGCGTCATCCACCTGAGAGCCCAGAAGCATCTGCTGGCCAGACACATGCCGGTGTTCAGCTACACGGAGCAGGGCGCACTCCTGGAGGATCACCCTTCCCTCCAGAGTGACTGCTACCATCGCGGCTATGTGGAGGGGGACCAGGAGTCCCTTGTTGTCCTCAGCACCTGTTTCGGGGGCCTCAGGGGAGTCATACAGACCAATGACATCATTTATGAAATTGAGCCCAAGGAACATTCTACCACATTTGAACACTTGGTGCACAAGTTGGACAGTGAGGAGACAGTCCCTCCCATGAAATGTGGAGTAACAGTTGAGGAAATCGCACGCCAGCTCAAGTTTCAGGAGGGCAGGGATGCCACCCTGATGCAGAGCGGCTATAAAGGGTGGTTGACTCACAGGCAATTTATTGAGGTGGCGGTGGTGGTAGACCACAATCGCTATGTGCATAACAAGCGTAATATCTCAAAGGTGTACATAGAAATGTGCATTATTATGAATTACGTCAATGTCTTTTACACAGCACTGCAAGTTGAAGTAACTTTAATGGGTGTTGAGGTCTGGACAAAATCAAACCTCATTGTTGGAGACGACATTAAACAGTTCTTAAGTGATTTCTGCAAATGGAAGACACAAAGCCTTTCAGCCCGCTTGATACACGATTCTGCACACATTGTGATTAAGAAAGACTTTACAGATTATCGTGGCTATGCATATATAGGGTCAATATGTGGCCACTCGATTAATTGTGCAGTTGTGGCTGCCATTGATGAACAACTGTCTGTGATTGGACACTACCTGGCCCATGAGCTAGGCCATAATATAGGAATGCTTCACAATGAACCCCCCTGTACCTGTGGAGAACAGCGTTGTATTATGGATGCTGAAAAAAAATTTGCAACGAAGTGGAGCAATTGCAGTTACGCTGCCTTCTGGAAAGCTGTTGTTAAAACAACCTGTATGATAGCTCCTCCCAAGCCAGAAAAAATCTTCAGGCACAGGCGCTGTGGGAACACAGTGGTGGAAATCGGAGAAGAGTGTGACTGTGGCACAGTGACTTCCTGTGAAGGAGATCCCTGCTGTCAGGTAAACTGCACCATGACCCCCGGCGCTGAGTGTGCTTCTGGACTCTGCTGCCACGAATGCAAGCTCTTGCCATCAGGCGCGTTGTGCAGAGAACAGGAGAACCAGTGTGACCTTCCAGAGTGGTGCAATGGGACATCCTCATTCTGTCCCGAGGACGTGTACGTGCAGGATGGGTTCCCTTGCTCAGACGGTGGCCACTGCCATGAAAAGAGATGCAACGACCGTGAGGAGCAGTGCAGGAATATTTTTGGCAAAGGGGCCAAGAGTGCAAATCTCAAATGCTATTATGAGATGAACACTCGAGGGGACCGCTTTGGGCACTGTGGTTTCAAAGGTGAAACCTATGTAAAATGCAGTAGGGCGGATGTGTTGTGTGGGAGGGTTCAGTGTGATGCTGTGACTAAAATCCCTCTTCTGAGCAATCACACTACTGTGCACTGGACTCGATTCAGTGGGGTTAATTGCTGGAGTACAGACTACCATTTTGGGATGACCACTCCTGATATTGGGGAGGTGAAAGACGGAACAGTGTGTGGTGTGGACCGCATCTGCGTCAAGAGAAAGTGTGTCCCAGGGACGGTGTGGAATAGTTACTGTTCACGGGAGACCTGCAACTTCAATGGTGTCTGTAACAATAGACATAACTGCCACTGTGACCCTGACTGGAAACACCCCTTCTGTGTGACCAAAGGAAATGGAGGAAGTGTTGACAGTGGCCCGGCACCTTCGAAAACTAAAAGTAAACCTCCCGGAATTGGTGCATACTTTACAGTCTTTTGGATATTACACTTGTTATTGTTATTAATAGCTGCGGTCGTTTTGATTTACAAACACTATGCCAGTGAGCATCATAACCCAGTGCAACGTACAAGCACTTCACAGAAGTATGAGAAGAATATTCCAGCTTCACTTGCAAAAAGGAAATAAATATTTTCATTTCACATATTAAACAAAGCAAAAGCACATGGATACAGAATAAAATCTAATCGTTAGTGATTGTGTGTCTTAAGCTTGAGACTCCTTGAAATAAATGTGACATTTAAATACCATGACCATGAGAGTTTTCACTTTCAGGTTCATAAACATGAGCTAGTTAATAAACTGCAAAATATGCTAATTCTGGTATATTTGTTTCCCTCGTGGGAGCAACCTGAAGTCAAGTTTTTTCATGAAATTAGTGTTCTTCCCCCGGGCCCAAGGCACAGCTCATAATGGGGTGTATGTGTTTGCTTTGCTGGTCTCATTGCAAATCGGCTTCTCCCTTCTTATCTGCTAGTTCACACAAGACTGTCTGCTTCAATGGGATTCCCTCGCCAGGCCTCTCCATTTCTTTCTTTCTAGGGGATCTGGGGCCCTGGTTCAGCCTGTTCCCCCTGTGCCTCCCAATAACCGCTGCCTGGCATCTGCAGTCACGCCCTGCCCTCTGTCTCCACACACAGCACACACAGACACATAGACACATGCACACCCACATACGTGAACACCTCGCCCTGTCAGTACCGAAATCGTGGCATAGAGTGATGTGCGGTGCAAGTTCTTATGGACGAATACAATTATTCTTATAAATATTGTTATTAATATGTGATCTAACGTGTCTACAGATATGATCTCTTATGCAGTCATATAGTCGCTCACTTTAAGCTAATAGATCATGCACTACTGTATGATGCTTTAATACAGTCCAGCTCCCCCCAATTATATCCAGAACTTGCTGACTGGGGCTCTGGTTCATCGTCGGAAAGGACTCCTGCTCTGGTCTGAGTGCCCAAGTCCCCAGCCTAGACCCAGGGTCCTCGCCCTTAAGCTGGGTCCAGCCAGCCCAGCTTTCCCTTTGACTGAAGTCCTCAGGGAGACACCCGCTCCTTCTGCCATGCCCCAGGGTTGGCTCCGTGGTGTGGTTTCCCAGGGATGTCTGATGCTGGCCTGTCTTAGTTTCCTGGAGGCACAAAAGGAGTCTGCCTGAGGGTGCGTCTTGTGCTTTGTTTTGCATGATCTTCACCGAGACGACATTGGTGTGAGGAGCCAGTGCGTGATTCCGGCGTGTGTTCACGCCTCCTCAGCTGCCCAGGCCCACAGTTCTCCAGTGTCGCCCACTAGGCACTGAGTGACTGCTTGGCTGCCCGCACTCGCCCTCGCTCTCTGGTAGACTCAGTTCCACACGAACATTTCTAGGATGTGTTTACGTGGCGTGTGGGTCCCTGCTTGGTTCTCTGCACCCCACTGAGGAGTGAAAGCTTCAAATTTTGTCTGCCTGCTTCTGAATTAGTGCAACCCCACTAGGTCCAGCCAGGCTGTTGCACAAGTCACATGCACACCACTGCCACATGTCCCCTCTCCCTAGTCGTCCGTGAGCACTGAGGGGCCTCAGGGCTGAGATCTGTGAACAGCGTGCAGTGCCTGAAGG